CAACATGTCAAACTTGTTGGGAAAAAACGATTGTTTCAGATTTTGAGTGCAGCGTGAGTTGTTTAAGCTAAGAATAAGACGCCTGGATTGGGAGGGTGTCCATTTGTAAACAGTTTGTAGACATAATTCAGTTCAGGTCAGATTCAAGCTGGCCAAGAATGTGCTCATGAACAACGCTCCAAGGAGAAGATTCCCAGCATTCCTTAGTGGTTAAGAAGAGGTACTGGTCTTCACAGATAGGAAGTCATCTGTCATTAGGGGGTAATCACTTCTTGAGGAGTTTTGCAATTCCTGGAATGATTACTGTTGTTATCAACAGTGAAACTTGGCGCTGAGAGAGCCGTCTGTTTTTTGGTTTTTTTGTAGTTATTTTTCTCCTCTCTTTGTGTGTTTGAGACAGCCTGGCTGATCCATGGTTGGCAGTGCTTTTTCAACCTTGTGTTGTCCCACCGTGCACACTCACCCAGATTTAGTCATGTACATTGTTGACTTAAAGCTAGTTGGTATTTCTTACCTGGGGGCATTTCTCCTTACTAATGGCTCATGTGCAATGATGCCTATCATGTCAGTGGTGCAATGAGGTGGATGCAATCTGTCATGCAGACTCATGTTTAAACAACAGAATTAATTTGAACTACATGCTATCTGTGGTGTTTTGGTGCCTCTCACGCCACTAATCTGTATGTTTGTCAGAGCGTTCGTCCTGCACTCCTTTTAAGTGAATATCTCTTTCTTTGCGTTGGTTGATCTAAAACTTCAGGTGGAGTGATGCTGTTACAATGAAAAAAGCCCTTCGACACTTGCCTGACATAATAATTTCTTTGGGGTGCGCCCCACATTACCTCTTCCTCATTTTACTTCACCACCACTACCAGATGATCCTTGAGAGCAGGAAATGTATCTTGTTAAGTGGCGAATGAGCCCCCTGCTTTTACTAAGAGAAAAGTGGGGAAAGGCCTTTCTTTCCCTCCAGGGCAATCAGATGAGTTTAGCAGTCTTGAAGCTGTGGATCACGCAGCTGGGAACCGGAGAGCCTGAAAGCTGCAGGCGCTTCTGCTTTATGTTTGCGGAGACAAATAATAGCTCATAAACCAGAAAAATTTGATTGAATATTTAAAAGAAATGTGCTTCGGGCATTTATCTTGCTTTTTATTTGCACACATGCAAGTACACGTGTTTGTCCTTGTGCATGGGAGCGACTCTTTGTATGAGCTGTTTTGCTTTGCCAGGGGGTCAGTAGGTTTATGTTGGCATGCAGCCGCTAGATACTTCCAGAGGAGGCTACTCAGGAAGTTTCCCTGGCACGTCCTCTGCATAATGCAGCACGCTTCACTGCTACTGATTCAACCTGTCATGATAAACAGGCTCTGACCAAAGTCTCCACTTCACCCAGTACTGCATGATATCCCTTTCACCTGTGAGAATCCAAAACAACAATCCAATCCTGCCTGATTTGGATTCATATGTGTAGCCTTCAGCTTACCAGTTCCACCCACTTCCTTCTTTGAATAAGGTTAAACTTTTACATTTGTTTATGGCAAAACTCTTTCACTCACAACAATCCATTCCTCTGCAGGTCAGTGGAATAATTCAGAGACGTTCAAAACAAGAGACTTTCCTCCCATGATTCATTGCAGCCTTGTCAGTCATGGCTCTGTTGTGGTTACTGGAGGGGAGCTGCTAATGTTTGTCTCCAGTTTCCATCCTCTGAAGTTCTATAGACATACACAGGAAAAGCAGCAGATGAAAGGCAGGGAAAATGTCTGCTGCTGCGGAACCTTTTCAAAGACAAAATAAAACAAGCTATATTTAAAAATGTTACAAACGTGAGTTCTTCTCTGGACACCAGTTTCCTCTCACCCACCAAACACATGTAAGTTAGGCTAACTGGCTGCTTGGAAATTTCTCTACATGCTGGTGGATCGGCTGGCTCTGAGATGGATGGTGTTCAAGCCCTATGGATGTTTTTTTTTCCTCCATAAGCCTGATTAGTTGATGCCCCCTTGGTCACATGGTGCCCTATGCATGGTATGGGATGCGTGTGGGCAGAACACCGGCGCTGGCAACTTTACTATCGTTCAGCCTCAGTTTAGTCATAATATCAGCAAACAGATTATTCTCCTCTGTGGTAGTGGCGCTACATCCAGTACCTCCAACGACATTTAAAATTCAAAACTCAACTAAGTTTATAGAGATTATGTGGCTATTGAATCTGAAAGGTCAAGGCAGATGGTGTTTAGATTCATCATTCTGGGTGATTAACCTGTCACCATGTTGTAGGACAGTGGTTCCCAAACTTACTTAGCTGTGCACCCCCTTCTATGTCCTGACCATGCCGACGCACCCCCCACCCTCCACACTAGGGGCGTGGCTATGGAACCACTTAATTATGCTTTAATCACCGAGTAGTAGAGTAGGAGTTGACACCGCCTGCTCACAGCTCTGTGAGGGGCTGAACGGATGATTTTGTCACTGAGTCTCATTAGGATCTATTTCAGCCAAAAAAATTTAAATCACTCACTCCTGCATGCACTCTTCCACACCCGTGGGCCGTGGTTCCGCTGGAGTGCGTCTGTGACATGACAGACTCGCTCCCGCAGCTTTTCAGTGTGCTATCAATAGCGAGGTGTGTTGAAAATGGTGTCCCAGTGTCAGTCAGATATTGCTCAGATTCTTTCACCATTGAAAAAATGAAAAATATCTTGGTATTGACAGCGCACACGGCAGAGCGCTCAGTGCGCGGCTGTGGGTCACGGGCCAGTTTGAGAGCATGTTTGCTTATAACCAAAAGTGGAATACAAATAAACTTATTTCATTTATTTATGGACTCTTTTATTAGGTCAATTTCTGGCTATGCTACTGCCCCACCCCTTAAAAAAATGCCACAAGCATTTTATTAGCGTTGAACGGCAGTTGAAATTTATTTATATTGAAGGCAGTATGTTAAATCATGCTCAAGTGAACAAAAAAACACATAAAATGATCATAAACACAACAATGCACACTCGCATTTGAGTTAATCTGAAACACTGTAACAAAGTTATGCAATATCTTCCACTTTTAAGAGACTCGGACATCCTACAATGTATGCTTTGTCAACACTTGACTGTTGGAACTTCATGTCCCACCCTACTTTTACTGCATGTCCAACAAAGAACATTTTGCAACAGAACACCACTGGTGTGAGAGGTTCTCTGCTCAATAAAATCAGAGAAGGAAAAATAACCGACTGCTACCACTTCAACTTTAGGGCAAACTACCAGTCCCGAAAAGGGGAAGACAGCAACTGGTGCTCTCTCGTTTACAGCAGCGATGTGTGTTCCGGTATCGGGGGACGTGACTAAGGAATGATGGCCTATGGGGGGGTTGGTTTTGTGTTTGTGTTTAAAGGCTAGCTTGTTTCACAGATTTGCTATTGCAGCTTTAAAGTTTTAAATACGGTGAGTAAATGAAAACATTTCTCTGGATTTTATAAGCCAGCGCTTTGTTAAGAAAGGAAATTTAGACACGTTTTTGCTGTTAGATAAATACAAGAACTTATATAGCAAGAAACAGCACGATTGAAAGCTGAAGAGCTGCTTTTCCAGTCCCTTCAGTCTACACTGATCTCTTTTTACTCGACTTCCTTTGTGGTTTGAGTCTGCATTTATCTCCTGCTTTTCCTCAGCTGACCACTTTTCCTTGACTGGCCCAAATCCAAGGGATCCACCCCATTAACCAGAACACAAATGCACATATGGCTTTTAGATTATGTTTGTTTTTCTAGCAAGCCTGCATTTGTTCTACTCATATTAAATGCTAATTCACACTGCTTAAGATGCAACCAGTTATTGAACAAAACCCCACCATCCTGTGTAGTTTGCCTGTCTAACAGCATTCTTCACCACAGCGTGACACTGCCTGGCTGAAGACAGGAAGTGGAGACAGAGCATTTTTGTCCGTCTGCATTTAAGAGGTGCCTGCCACTTAATGACTTCTGACAAGCGAGACAGCGGCGGCTTTGGGTACTCAAGGGCTGTTTTGGGGTCACAGAGAAGTGATCTGTAGGAAGTCAAGGGTTTATCAGATAACATCAAGATTGACTCCATGCTGACTGGCACAAGTGGAAAACCTAAAGGTGTAGAGAACACTGAAAACCCTTCTTTTTTTAATCTTTTTTCTGGTTATAATCAATCACTCTTGAGTTTTTCATGTAGGTTGAACATGCAGATAGTCTCTTACAGCTGTTGTCTGCATTAGCCTCTGAGAGAGGATAGATGGTGAAACTCTAGGATTTGATAATCCTGAAAGATGTATGTCACACTGTCACTTAACGTTCATGGACTCACCCATCTTGTCTCACCACAGGGAAGTCTCTTGTTGGTTTAGTGTCCAAGAAACAGCAGAGACCTTCTCAGTTAATAGAAGCTAACCATTAGCATTAGCAACTCCACCACACAGCAGAACTCCTCCAGGCGTGTGTTATTTGTGGCGATAAAACATCAATGTTGCAAAGCAAACAGTCAGTGGTGGAGTCATTTTGCTTTTATCCAACTTGAGGCAAGATGTCCAAATGTCGAGACTCCACATCCTGCCGTCTGAAGCTCACCTCTAATGTGGGTCAATTCTACTTCCAGAAAATGGTGCACAGGAGCTTTTTTTTCCCAGAGTATGACTTACAAGGTATTCATTTCTACTTGAGACCACTGCAAATGTATTAATTAAATAAGCGTTCAACACCTTTAAATTTCAGTTTAAAGTGTTTGGCTTGTGATTCCGTCTAAGGGTTGATGCAATCATAGAAGAGAAGTAAGTCTCATTTCCTAGATTATCATCATAACAAGCAAGGAATAAAGAGATCACAGGGCAGAGCTGGGACTGTTATTTTGATCTCATCATAGTGTTTCAGCACAAAAAATGAGCTGGAAAAGTTGAAGTCACATTGAGACTTGTCATTAAGAGATCCTGAAAACCATGCTTAACATATGCCATCTGTTGTGTTGATTTTTCATATTTCACAGGCTCTTATGCGTCCAGGTCGCCTTGACCGGATCGTCTATGTCCCTCTCCCAGATGCTGCAACTCGACATGAGATCTTTTCTCTCCAGTTCCGTAACATGCCTGTGGCAGAGGACGTGTCTATAGATGACCTGGTGACTCAGACCAACAAGTACTCAGGAGCGGAGGTGAGTTAGAGCTTCACGTGTTTGATTCAAGGGCGATGTATGAAATTGTATATAATTAAACCAAATCTAGATTGCATTTTTAAGTACATAATGCTGTATGAAGTCAGCAGTCTCTGACTTCACTTCCACTGTTTGATGTTTCATCTGCATCTAGAGCAAAGTTGTTGCAAATTTTCGAATTAATGCTTCAAATTCAACAAAATTCCATTCAAGGATATGGCTCGGTCCTCACAGCCGTCATGTCTCCATAGAGTCCCTTTCAGGACTTGGCTAACACGTCAGCCTATTGTGAGTACTTTAACAGTGAGTGACGTCACTAATCAGTGCCAAAAAACGTCTATGGACATTAGTAAAATTAAACATTTAATCCATCAAAGTACGCCATAATTTATTCCATGCAGGGTACCGGGAGAGCTGCTGTGTGATGTAAAAAGAGGCGTTCAGTGACCTAAAGAAGTGCTTTTCCTTTACAATTCTCTGTGAGACCATAAAATCTGCAAAAATTACGGCATTAGGGGGGATTTCTGTCGCGTTTTTCAGTATTGGGAGTTCAAAAATTGTGATTTTTTTAAAGCAGCGTCAACGTTGCTCATTTTCTTTTCCTTCCATTCTGCTTCACCAGCAGCTCTGCAGCTTTACAAATGCTGGTTGTTTGGTGACGTGTGGCAATGTTTTTTTTCTACTTAGTTACAACCAATCAGTAAAAGTTAACCACAAGTCCTGCTTATCAACATTACCGGGCCTTTCCAAGTACACACAGTACAGGCTTAAAATTTGGACACACCTTCTCAGTCAATGTGTTTTCTTTATCTTCATGACCATGACCATTTACAAAGGGGCCAACAAGTGCTAAACACCTCTGGGAACTCCTTCAAGACTGTTGGAAAACCATTTCAGGTGACCACCTCTTGAAGCTCATCAAGAGAATGCCAAGAGTGTGTAAAGCAGTAATCAGAGCAAAGGGTGGCTATTTAGAAGAAGATAGAATATAGAACATGTTTTCAGTTATTTCACCTTTCTTGGTTAAGTTCATAACTCCACATGGGAGAGTTTACCAACATAAATGATCATGAAAATAAAGACAACACATTGAATGAGAAGGTGTGTCCAAGCTTTTGGCCTGTACTGTACATACATTAAGAAAAAGGCCTGAACACACAAATATTTTACAAAAATATAGGGCTGTTATGTAATCCACCATTCAGCGGGAATTCAAACCTTTTCTTCTTTACAAATTTCCAAAAGTTAAATGAAAAGACCCTTACAGATGTCTGTAATTCTGAAGGACCTCAGGGTCAGAGATGCGGACCTGCAGTGAATAAATTGTATTGGTTTTGCTAATTTTAGAACAAAACTAGCACTAGATAGGAATGCGTTTCTGTCTTGCTCTGCAGATAGATGAAGCTCTGTTTTTCCATGATGTCTAGAAGGTGCCTGTGGTGTGTCACAGAGCGCTCCCGTTATCTGACTGTGGACTGAGAGTCCCCGTACAAACGTTCCTTTGTGTGAAAGATCTGTTTCTCTACGTTTGTCCCAAACATGATTCTGTTACAACTAAACTCACAATTCTCAGAAACAGTCCAAGGTTTAGGAAGAATCCCTAACTGTTTGTTTGGAAAAATGTTTATTTTAGTGAAGTTGTTTCTGTCTGCACACAGTGTTATGTTGTAGACAGTCAAGGTTACTTTTCATTTTTCACTTAATGCAATGAACAATCGAAGTGAGGAACTTGTAGAGAAGTGTCGATGTTACTGGACCAAGGTAATTCAAGAAGCAAATTTGAAGCATGAAAAATATGTCTTTGCCAGATCACTGACCTTTAAAAAAAAGTACAACATTTAGAATACTTTGGTGTCCCGGTTAATTGACAGTTAAAATGTTATAAAAAAAATTCATAAAAATTACCTTGTTCAAAAAGTTATAAAATATTGTGCTGCATGTTTTCTACTGCAGGTGACCTTTGTCTTTAACTTTTAAACCATTATATATACTGTGGGTATGGAAAGTATTCAGACCCTTGTCAATTTTTCACTGTTATATTGAAGCCATTTGCTATAATCAGTTACATTTGTTTTTCTCATTAATGTAAACACAGCACCCCATATTGACAGAAAAACACGGAATATTTTACATGGTCCTAAGTATTCAGACCCTTTGCTGTGGCACTTATATATTTAACTCAGGTGCTTTCCATTTCTTCTGATCATCCTTGAGATGGTCCTACACCTTCAATGGAGTCCAGCTGTGTTCGATCAAACTGATTGGACTTGATTAGGAAAGCCACACACCTGTCTATATAAGACCTTACACCTCACAATGCATGTCAGAGAAAATGAGAATCACACACACACGTACCATTTAGAAAAAATAATAGAAAAGTAAATTCCCAAAAATATTCACGAAAAGATTAACATAATTTCATCTATAGAGTTATTACATGTATTAGATAATTAAAAAAATATATAAATGGATTTTTTTTAACTGGAAGAGGCATTTTGACAATTTGGAAAGATGTGAGGTCACTATTTTTATTACCTTTAGGAAATTTATTTTAATTGCCAATTGCATTTATTATCCAAATTGCACAACTTTTAATAGAAAAAGTTTAAGCTACACTGGAATATTTTCAGTATATTAAATTATTAGATTTAAAGCTGCAATGGCAAATTTGGAAAACAAATTCGCTTAAAACATTTTTTCATGCCTCTTGACAATGTTCTAACATAGTATAGTGATAAATATAATGTAGAGATAAAAAATAATAATAACTGAAAAAAAAAGTGTTATGGGTCAGCCAATAACAGGTTTTGGACCAAAAGCAATTATTGGAACTTCTAGTTGTTGGGATTGCTGAACCGCCGCTCTTCCGTGGGTCCTCCTCTCATTACACACTCGCGCATTTAACAACAGAACACCACTGGTGTGAAAGGTTCTCTGCTCAAAAATATCAGAGAAGGAGAAACAGCTGGCTGCTACCACTTCAATTTTAGGACAAACAACCAGAGTCCAAAAGATAAAACACCATTTAAAGTTACGGGCAACAAAAGATGTTTGGACCTAGAAACAGCTACTGGTGTTTAGCCCTATAAATGATAAATGATAAATAACCCGCACTTGTGTGGCACCTCTCAGAGTAAGGACTCCAAAGCGCTTTACACTACAGTGTATCATTCATCCATTCACACACTCATTCATACACTGATGGTAATTAGCTACTATGTAGCCACAGCTGCCCTGGGGCGCACTGAACAGAGGCGAGGCAGCCGAGCACATGCGCCACCGGTCCCTCCGACCACCACCAGCAGGCAAGTTGGGTTGAGTGTCTTGCCCAAGGACACAACAGCAGAATTCTCTATCTGGAGCGGGGATCGAACCTGCAACCTTTGGATTACTGGACAACCCGCTGAACCTGTTGAGCTACTGCTGCTATCTTGTGTCCTCCTGCATTGCGGGTTTCCGGTTCCAGGGAAGATACCCGAGGGGAGGAATGAGTGTCCCATTACCATATTTGCGTTCAAAACTTAACTTCTTCTGTAACTTTGCTAAAGCAGCTTTAAACGTCACTAATTACTTTTTTCCCACTTTACAAACACTAATTATCCCACACATATTAAACAATACTCATAGTATTTTTTTCACTCACAAATGATCCACAATCTGTTTATTACTTATTGAATAATGTTTTAGGACATGGAAGACCTGAGGGGCTTCTGTTTTCTCCTCTGACTAAATAATTCTCTCTGTGGCATTTTGAGGTTATCTAAAGAGTCTAAAACTCCCTCCTTTTTTCTGATGGAGCAGCCCCCACCCAGAACATTCAGCCTAAAGCAGTCCTCCATCTGGAGTAGGTATGCGGCAAGAAGCCAATCCTCAGCTATCAGGTGTTTTGTTTGACATCAGGGTTTCTGGTGTAGTGTCTCCTCTGTGGAATGGAGTTCTGCTGTTGCTTGCCGTTGAGTGCTTCAAACCCCACAATAAAACTGGAAGGCACGCCACAGTCACGCTGATAGGAATTAACAGGCAGAATGAAAACTGCGTCTCACCTGTATGGGTATTATATTTTACATGTCATCGCTAAAAATCAAATTAGATTGGATGAAACTTTAAACTCCCTGATCGCTGAGGAGAAGTTGGAGAGAAAATGGGATACAGATAACAAAACAACGTGGTTCTGGAGATAAAGCGGTGTTTACAACAACTGAGCCCCAAAGGACGTATACAACAAACAGGCAAGTAAATCAAAAGGTAAATCTGCATACCATAAGTGACCATCAATTGGTGATATTGTTCCTTTGCTTGAAGTTGAACTTCATCAAGTTTTCTGTTTGGTCTGTCGTGATAGGAAATAAACATAGTCTGTTTTGGAATTATAACATTTTTTTTATTAGAAACCCACTCAGATTATCATCGTTGCCACCTAAAGGAATGCAGGCCATGATGTTTTTGCCTGTGTGTTTGTACAGGTCCTTCTAAAAAAATTAGCATATTGTGATATAGTTCATTGTTGTCTGTAACGTACTAATAAACATTAGACTTTCACATATATTAGAATCATTACACACAACTGAAGTAGTTCAAGCCTTTTATTGTTTCTAAGATTGATGATTTTGGCATACAGCTCATGAAAACCCAAAATTCCTATCTCAAAAAATTAGCATATCATGAAAAGGTTCTCTAAACAAGCTATTAACCTAATCATCTAAATCAACTAATTAACTCTAAACACCTACAAAAGATTCCTGAGGCTTTTAAAAACTCCCAGCCTGGTTCATTACTCAAAACCGCAATCATGGGTAAGACTGCCGACCTGACTGCTGTCCAGAAAGCCATCATTGACACCCTCAAGCAAGAGGTAAGAAATTTCTGAACGAATAGGCTGTTTCCAGAGTGCTGTATCAAGGCACCTCAGTGGGAAGTCTGTGGGAAGGAAAAAGTGTGGCAGAAAACGTTGCACAACGAGAAGAGGTGACCGGACCCTGAGGAA